CTGAACTAAAATGATCCATGTAGCAAACAAAAACTGTTGTGAGCTGCCAGCCTTATATTGCCTTTGGGATTTTGGAGCCTTGACCTGACTTTTAAAAAGTAATTGGAAAAAAGCACTACGCTGCTAAAAAATGAAAAATAGATATTTGCAAAATTTTGCCTAAATATGTATTTTACCTGGTTAATGTGTGTGGCGGGGCGTGGTCTGCAGCGCCACTGCAAGGGGAGTCGGACGCACCTGGTCGGCACCCGCAATCACGCCTCGCCGCCTTAACGTCTGTGCTCTCTCTGCTGTTGTGTTGGTGTGTGTCGAGCTGTGAGCTGCAAAGCTGCAGCCGGCTGTATGCGTACAGCAACCGTGTGTGAAAAGTGGTCAATAAAGAGATGCTGAAAAGCATGTTCATGCAAACATCGTCGGGTCTGTCGTGATATGTTTACAATAAGACTTATGCTCCTGAACCTCTGCGCACAGCGTCTGCAAATCGGGGCTGTACGAAGTCACTTTCATCTGTACGCAGGACTGTAAGCTGTCATCTGTGAGGCGTGAGCGGTGTTTGTTTTTAACAAAGTTCACGGTGGAGAACAGCTGCTGACATAATGTGGATCCCAAGATCCATACCTGGCCTACCTGGGTTTGAAAGTCTCGATAAATGCAGGCGTTTCGGCGGGTACACCGGCTTCCGCTAGTGTGACGCTTATTTTGAGCGATGAAAAAATAATAAGATATAATTTTATTTTTATATTTCAATATCACAATAATCTTCCAATTTAGAACTACAAGTTAAAAAAGAACTAAACACAAATAAAATACACTTCAGCTAAATACTTATAATTTATTTTCCCAAACCACGCGGAGCCGCAGTATAAGGACAAAAGAGCCGCAGGTTGCCGACCCCTGTTTTAAGCACTTATTTCTTTAACCCAGCTACACAGAATTACATCTGTGTAAGTTTTTGAGAACATGGCCCCAATGGTGTAAATTAGCCTATATATGTTTAGTGTTTTCTGTCCTCTTTAAATTAGGCAGCTTACAGAACGTTGACTGCCGTCGTTCCACTTTCTATTGCAGTGATGACGTCCAGCACGCACCAGCGAATCTAAAGGTGCGGGTTGGGTGTACTAGGCCATTTTATTTCAAGGCTTTTATAACATTTTTCAAAGTGGAATAAAATGAAGTATTATATTTATACAACTTGATTGATTTTTGAAAACATAAAAATAAAAGCCAATAAAAAATGTACATGGGTCAATTATTATTATTATTATTATTACCATTCATTCTCAGCATCTACACCATCGTAGCATCTTGTTATCAGCACAACAAAATTTAGCATCAAAGCGCAGGGCAAACTTTAGAATTATTGACACACACGCATATTATATACATCATATAACCCACACCACTTACAACTTTAAAGGCTTGCAGACAACTCACTCATTCACTAGCACACTTAAACATGCAGACACATGCACAAAGAACACATACACCTGAACCCACACTAACTCCAACTCATCCAGGAGACCCTTATTCAGATTCCATCTTCACCTTTTTTATTTGACCCTTGACTGTACTTCAGAATGTTTATTTTTGCATTTAAGAGAATATTTTTTTAAGTTCAATTTTTTACATGATGTGTAAGTACAATGAAAATATTTAGCTTTCTTTATCTTTGACATCAGCCCTAAATTGAACACACTCTTGCTTGTTTTATCTTGCAAATGAAGGCTGTCAGAGGTTATGACTCCATTATGAGGGTCAAGTTACTAACTATCTTCAGTTTTGTATTTTGCTGCCGACTGTATTAAGGCTCATTAAAATGATCTATTTTTAAATTTTTATCTTTATTTTTCAGGCTCATTCTCCTTGAAGTGTCCAAAAACCATGGAAGCAGAAATCGGTGACACAGTGATTCTGCCGTGTTCCACTGATCCTCAAACCAATGTCATTAGAGTGGAGTGGATGGTAAATGAGACAACTGAGGTCCATGTGTGCAGAAAAGATAAAGATGAGCTTGCTCACCAAGCAAGCATCTATGAAGGAAAAACATCTGTTTTTCAAAAAGAACTACCAAAAGGGAACTGTTCACTGCAACTGGTGGTTTCTCAGTCTCATTTCGGGACATACAGGTGCTCTGTACTTACATCAAAGAAAACCAAAGACAGTTGTGTTATAAATCTCACTGGTAAGTACACTGAGGCTAGTGGCATTCTATATTATAAGCTAATTTGAATAAAATATGTACAATTCCATCAGAAGTGGTAAATGGCAGCATAAATAATTAATTTAATGGTAATAAGTAGATAAACTAACATATAGTGCTTTTCTAGTCGTATTAGTTATTCAACTTTTTTTACTGTTAGATATATTTTGTTAATGGGTGTCTCTTCATGGTGATTCCAGGAACAGCACTGCTGTTTGGACGCTAGAAACACATTTTATTTCACTCCACCTGAGCTCAGTGTCTCTGTAGCGGCTCCGTCTCTTTGCTCTTTGCGGTGTTAAACAAACTCAGGCTCCACGTTAAACTGTGTCAGCAGCATCATCATCATTGTGTTGTCGATGTTTCTGTTTAAAACTGCAGGCTGTGCGGGAAACGCTTTTATTCACATGCTGCCCCTGAACACATTTCTATTGCAGGTCTGTTTTTAGTCACAAATGTGGGCAAAATGCTCATTTTTGCATTTCTGTGGTGACAAAGGTGCGTTACAAAGCAATTCCTTAAACAAAGCATCAAAGCAAAGTATTTGTGTCCAACATTTTTTATAATCAAATTACTAGAAATACTCAATGAATTGTTGCAGCCCTAATCTGGATCCAAGATCCTGAGTATACATCAATGTTGCCTTTTACCCTCAGCTGTAAAAGGCTGAAGGACAAAAGGCTTGTAGCCAGTAAATGTGATGTAGGATTATAAAATTAATGCCATAGGTGCATTTACAAAAAATCTCGGACAAGCTTGAATTTTAGTGACCTTGACGGTAAAGTTTTCTAAACATATCTTGTGAATGTGATAACTCAAGAAGGATGTCACGTGGGATTTTCAAATTAATGGCATTTGTGTATCTACTAGCAGGCTGCAGTAGTACTGGCAGCTCAGAGTATTTTTAACATAAGTAACACTGTGAGCTATATTCTCTGGATTAATCAAATTTCTCCTACTTGTCATACTTTCAGCAGTCAGTGGAAAAGGACCAAACCTATCTCCGAACAGTAAGTTACTATCATTTGTTTTATATTTCAGCAATAATATTATATAGCAAGTAGAAATTATCCTATGGCAAGGGCCTAGAAATTCCCAAGATATTATACAATCTAAATGGAAAATAAGAAAGGACATTAAAGAGTGAGTGCTGCTGTCCAACAGGGAAATGATGGTAGAGAAAGAAAACCATACAGCCTCTTTGGTCAGTAATAATTGCTTGGTGTAAAGAAATTTGGTGAACTATTAGTTTCATTGATCTGTGTAATTTGGCCAGTACATTAGCACAGCGGTCCCCAACCTTTTTTGCACCACGGTTTAACGTCAGACAATATTTTCACGGACCGGCCTTTAAGGTGTTGTGGATAAATACAACAAAATAAAACGATACGACCAAGACAAAAACTGTGGTATTTTGTAAATATAATAATAAACACAAATTCACTGTGTAATTGTGTAACTTTATTAGCAACATCCTCCTGAAATGCGCCAACAACATTGAGAGTAACATCCTCCTCTCTGCCCCTTAATGCTCTCTGGTCGTTATGGTAACGAGTGAATATTTCTTTCAAAATAAGACACAACTACAACACAGGAAAAGACCCAGGGAAACTGAGTTAATGATAAAAACCCTGAAAACCATAAATTTCACACCAGAGCCTCAACACTCGCGGCCCGGTACCGGTCCGTGTCCCGGGGGTTGGGGACCGCTGCATTAGCATGTTAACAGTGTGTGTCATCTTAATGTTTATGTTTCAAACAGGTTAACAACCAAAAGCTATCTCCAGAATAAGGAAAATAATTAGATAAAGAAATAATTACTATGCCTTCATGTAGTTGCATCAGTGTAGTACACAACATCATTCTCACCAATGGACACAGCTCTCAGATAGTAAAGCAATGACAGAATAAATATGATTATGAAGCATCATTCTGTGTGAATGCAGACTGTCAGGCTGCGTTCACACAGAATGACACCATATTATGAATTAAGCAGCATGGTGGCACAGTGGTTAGCACTGTTGCTCACAGCAGGTCCTGAGTTTAAAGTTGGTGGACTTCCTCCCAAAGACACTCGCTTAGTGGGGTTAGGTTAACTGCAAATTCTAAATTCCCATTTAGTCAAATAAGTCTCTCTCTGTGTTAACCCTGCGATAGACTGGCGAGGGTGTACCCCCCTCTATAACAGTCTGGATAGGCTCCCAGTTCTATGCATGAAATCTTAAGAAGTTATTCAAATAATTGGCTTTGTTGAAATAATGGAAATGTTACAAACAGGCTTGTAATCAGCAATAAAACAAAGGGAGATTGGACGAGGTAGTAACTGGTAAAGAAACATTTATTTGCAGAACCAAATGTAAGCATGTGTCAGCAGTGTAAAATGTGGTCGTGATAAAGTTTGTAGAAAGCAAAAACACATGCTGTAGCTTAGCTGATCTAGTCTAGGAAGCTAGTGTCTAAATCAGGGTAGTGAGCAAAAAAAGAACTGAGGACTCGCTGCAGAAAGGGAGCTTTTATGCCCAATCCCCAAAGGTTGATTGCGTTCATCTGGACGTAGAAGGGTTTCTGCAGGAGAACCGTTTCATTACTCATCCAAGTGACTTCTTGAGTCTCAGCTGACTGCATTTTCCCCAACCTTATAAACAGAACATTTGCATAAAAAGTGAAACTAGCACCACTGAGGGAACAGTGGGCTGGGAGGTCAGGTCCTTTATCAATATCTCTTTCACGCATAGTGGTCACTACAGTGCATAGCTATTCAAAGGCTGTTTTCTTGTATTTTTGTCAGTGTTGATGGTATACTTGCACATAAACTACTACACTGGACACTGATGTGTATTCGTTTGTCAAATTCATAAGTCAAAACGTATGATGTCCACCTAAGTGGACATGTAAAAAAACTCTGTAAACAGTACATGTTTTTAAAAAAACAAGTTCAAAAAAATATTTTTTTCATGCCTAAAGATGAATAAAAACATCCTGATTGATAATTCATGCACGAAAAGGTTAATATGCAAATTCTCATGACCATTGATCAACAATCACTGATCAAAGCCAATTACTGTTACTGTAACAGTTACAATGTTACTGTTTAAGCTCAAATTAGTTTGATGTTTAAAGGCTCGCAGTGACCTGAGATACTTTCCCCCCGAATGTCTTAAATCATAAGTACCGAGCCTGTTTTAAACATAAGGAGTAGAAAGTACAGATGATTTTAAAATGAGACCTGAAACAGATGCCTGGATATTCTTCTTACAGTGATGTAATAAGTGTTTGCCCCCTCTTAAATGTTTCAGATCAGATTAAACACGAGACATTATACAAAGATAACACAAGTAAACACAAAATGCTTTGTAAATGGAGTTCATTATGAAGAGGACATGAAACACTGAACTTATAAAAGCTAATTTACGCTGCTTTCAAAAACTGAGATGTTTCACTGTCTGTGGAGCTGAATTTAAGAAAAATGTTAAGTTAAAAATTTAAAAACATGTATAGTGCCATCTTCTGTTGGTACAGGATGGCACGTCACCAGGTTGGTTTGTCAGTAGACTTATATTAGTTTATGTTAGCTAAATATTAACAGAACCAATAACTCAAAGGAAAAATGAGCTTAAGTGGATCACTTTTGTGCTGCCCCTGGCTGTAACAATTTCATTCTGACATCCATCAGCATGTCTGCAGGAAAAGTAAAAACAAAAACACAATTTCCATGGTACAGTCTGCTTTACATTTGTGCTTTTCTTTTACTCACTTCTTAAATGAAGTAATAATTTAGTGATGATGTGGAGGGGTGGGGGCTTCAAAAAATGTGCCATCTCTCTGAAGTCTCCGGGCTTTCATATTTACTTTTTCCCCTTCACACACATTGACCTACTTTCCCTGCAGACCTGCTGATAGGATTCCTGATCGCGCCTCTGTGAGAAACATGTTTGTGGTGTGTATGTAGTGGGCTGTTGTGTTGTAAATTGTTTGGATGTGCTTGCGAACTAAGATATTTTATTATTATACGTTTTTCATTGCATAAAGTAGCACTGATCGCATCAGCTGATTGCGCTGCTCTGTACACCCGACCAGACAAGGAAACCGACTGACCAACCAACCTGGTGACATTAGATATTACTCTTATGATACTCTGTGGATTGATAGTGATAGTGTGACGGTCTGGGGCTGTTTTCATACCTGAAAATGCTCCAGTGTGGCTGAATTACAGCAATTCTGCAAAGATGAGTGGGCCAAAATTCCTCCACAGTGCTGTAAAAGACTCACTGCCAGGTATCGCAAACGCTTGATTGCAGTTGTTGCTCCCAACCAGTTATCAGGTTTAGGTGGCAATCACTGTTTCACACAGGACCAGGTAGGTTTTGATTTTTTTCCTCTTAGTGACAAACATCTTCATTTAAAAACTCCATTTTGTGTTTACTTGCATTATCTTTGTCTGATATTTACACTTGTTTGATGATTCTAAACATTTAAGTGTGACAAACATACAAAAAATAGAAATCAGGATCAAACAATTTTTCACACTCTTTACAGTAACAAAGTATTTTTACTGTTACTTCCCACCTGTGAACCCCATGTACAAGTATTACTTACAACAGCATTACTGAGAATAGGTTTTTTTTTTTCCAGACTAATGAACCCATTTGGTATAACACTTTGCACTAAGTTCTTCTTGTCTAGTATTAATCATATCTTTTGTTTCAGGTACCATGGCTGGCTTTCAACTTCCTCATAATGCAACTATTGGAGTTGTACTTGCTGTTCTTGCTGTACTTGGTGTACCTGCTGCTTGCTGTATCTTGTTTTGGTGGATTAAAAAGAAGAAACAAGAAAAAAGTAAGTTACTTAATTGTTAGATTAAAGTGGACCTGAAACACTATATTTATCTAATTTACACAATGGCCCTGCTCTCTTTCACATCCACTTCCTCTTTATAAAGTGCTTTACAAACCTGAACATTACAGTAAACACTTGTGGTTGAATTCCAAGTAAAGAGTTTAATGATGATGACAGCTGTTTTGGACACTAGGAAAAAACTTTTTTTTTCCACGCCACCTAAACATACTGACTTGGTAACGGCTCTGCCACATGTTGCTCCAAGATAAGTTTCTATTGCAGGTTTATGTTTTATGTGGATGAAATGGTAATGAGTGAGTGCTAAGCATCAAAGCAAAGAATTTGCATTAAGGTTTCATTTTAGACTGAAATTAATCAAATTACTTGATGAATTGCTGCAACGATAGCAAACACACACACAGATCCGCTTAACTGATGTAATATTTGAGTAACTTGGAAGCGTTCAACACACTATCATTTTTGTTTTTCTAGTTTTGTTAGTTTAACTCTTCCCACCTTAAAATGTTTAGAAGTTTGTTAGCTAGCTGTGAAGTTATTTTAGAGTGTTGTCCGTGTTTTAGCATGATCTTCTTTCAGTTAGTACTCAGGATTTAGTAAGATTTCAGTTGCTAAAAATAGCTTGTTCAGCAATCAGCACTAAAAGGAGTCAGCTAGTCAGTTTTAGTCTAAATTGGCTATATTTTGTTCTTGCTTACATTTTTTTTTCTAGTTTTAATCCTGTTAAATATCTAGTTAATGCTCATGCAAAGTGTTGACAAAGGTGTCTAACTACCACACTATATACACACTATCTGTGGCTTGTTGTTGGTGGCACTAAGAAGTTGTAGGTAAATACCTTGCTGTAGAGGCAGACATTGTACAATTGAGATGTTTGTGTTATCCATACCGCATACTGAGAAAGTGTATCATTATATACAGCAAATAGTTTATTGCTCGTCGCATGCTGTGCTTGAACTCATGATGCTCCTCATGAAATTTCAAAATTTGAAAATCTAACTAGAAATATGTAGTTCACGATCGATCTGGGCGTTTTGAGGAATGAGCAGTGTCTATGACAAGCACTGAGACTAGTTTAGTCAATGAATAATAATAATAATAATAATAATAATAATAAATTGACATCATCAATGCTGATGTGGCAGGGATAGCTCAGTAGGTAGAATGGTTGCCTCATGATCACAAGGTCCAAGGTTCAAATCCACTGAATGGCAATGTACCGTCACAACTCCCCAGGCGCCCAATGGGTGCCCACCGCGTCACTGAGTGAATGGGTTAAAAGAGAGGAATGTCCCCAAGGGGATCAATAAAGTATACATTGATATTGTGTACTGGAATCTCAGAATTGGGTAATTCTGCAAATTAGTTAATTGGTTAAAATTAGTTGAACTAATTTTAAGTGTCCTTAGACACTGAAGTATACAGACACATGGTACTTTATGAAAAACAGAAATGCAGTATCAATTAACACAGCTTGTGATTTTTACGGTTACCCATCAAATTTCAACTGTGTCAATCTTTTTCTTATTTATTTAAAAGTGCAGGAATGCTTACAAATGGATGAGTGCCAGCCACTGGACAACAACCAGGACAACAACCAGGACAACAACCAGGACAACAACCAGGACAACAACCAGGACAACAACCAGGACAACAACCAGGACAACAACGACCCTCTGATGAAGGATTCACCGCGTTAATCGGCAGAACTGTGTCCTTCAGTGTTTTTGTCGTGTGTGTGTGGGGGGGGAGCTGTTTTGTTTTTTACATATAAAACATCTCTAGTTCTTAACAGACACCAGTCTATCCTGAGCATGATGTGCTCACTCACCATGTCGGCCCAGGGGGGCGGGCTTCACATAGGTGTGTGTGCCTGCCTGTGTATCGATAAAGACACCACAGAGGCACTGATGAACCACCTAGTTGTGTAAAGTCTAGATTATACTTGAGCATGGATGTCAAACATAAGGCCTGGGAAAGTGAAACAAATTTAGAAAATGTGAAGCAGGGCAGAAATTGTGGACTGTATTTTAATCCATTTTACAATATTTTTCTATTGACCTAACCCAATGGCCAGACATCCTACACCAGCGCTAGGAAGTAATACATATAAAAAGGAATGAAATGACAGATGTTTTAATATCAATATTTATAATACTAAAAGAAAGCCTTAAAGTCCAGCTTGACCAAAGGCCTTAAAGCTGTTATAGTATTACTGAAGGGTCTGTAGCATTATATACACGGACATAGCTTCCTGGCTGTGAAAATGAAGCCAATACTGAAGTGCCTTAAAACCTGCGTTCTCGCAGAATGCAAAAACAAAACTTGATATCCTATGAGGAAAAAACTTTTTTTTTTCTTTTTAGTTCCCGCTGGTAAATGTGATCAAAAAATTTTAACACTAAAATACAATTATTGAAATTTACTGTTTTACAAAAACTTGATCTACATTTTAAAATTTATGCACAGACAGAACATGTTCAGCCTAATGTACCCTCTATTATATCAATCTATGAATCTAATAATGAGTGTTCTTTGAACTGACTAAAATATTAATTAAGAAGCAAGTTTACATTTTATGTATAACCATCCTAAAACTACATTCCTATGTAGCGTGCCAGAGCTTTATATATGGCCTCAGTACTGTCGACCCATAGTCAAACCAACCCAAATTGTTCAATGGTCAGTGTTGGGGAGTAACAGAATACATGTAACGCCGTTATGTATTTAAAAAACAAAATATGAATAACTGTATTCCATTACTGTTACCGTTTAAAAAGGTGATATTCAGAATACAGTTACTCCGTGAAATAAATGGATTACACGGTGGTCCTTTCCTGTTTTATGTATTAGGCTATGCCCTCTTTTTGGTATTTCCACGCTGGTGGAAATCCAAACAAAACACATGTTAAGAAGCTCTCGTGCTTGTGCCTCAATCTCACGGCCCATATCGCCTGTATTTGCGGCCTGCATAATGACGTGAAGAATTTTTTTTTTTTAAATTTTTTAATATGAAGGCAATATTAGCAGAGTGTTACAGCCATATCCCTAAAGAATGTAGTCTGATGGGCAGTGTAGTCCGTGTTGCAGAGACAATGGACTGCCATACCTGTTAAGTGTCTGAGTGTCGAGAGAGTAGAAAAGTACGAGTTGTCATCAAGCAGAAACAGGAGATGGAAGCATGTAAATATAATAATAACCACTGCAGCCAAACAGAGTGCCTGATGAGCCCAGTTGTAAGTAAGCTATTAAGACTCGACTGTACACCGTGTTCGTGTTTTCCTCCGAAACAATAAGTTCAGTTGGAGCAGCCTTTCAACGCCTCTCTCTGTCTCTCGCAAGCAAACTTGACCCAGACAACAAAGTAAAGCTATTTTTCGGCTATGAGCCCAACATGAACCTGATGTATTAGCCAGATGTCCCTTTACTACGGTTCGGAGCCGCGGACCTGTTTTATATACGCGCGGAATAATTTTCTGTATGAGATCGCTGCAAAAAGTGCAGCCTTACCTAATGTCCACCTACTGTTACTCATTTTATATTAAGATTTAAAATCTAGTTGCTATTAGTATGGCGAGTATCCTTCAATAATAGTAATAAATCACACAGCAATAGTACATTCATGTAGTTGTAAAAAGCATGATAATATATTAAGTAATCCAAAGTATTCAGAATGAACGGAATACGTTACAAAATACATTTTGGGGCGTGTATTCTGTAATCTGTAGTGGAATACATTTTAAAAGTAACCTTCCCAACACTG